TCAATCTAGTTTTCCAAACTCACTCTTGAGATGGAAATTAACATAGGTTTCCTGTTTATTTCTCTTGTACATTTTCATTACTAAACATATTGGCTAACAACTATAAGGTTAGCAGCAGTCCCCTCAGCATGAATTTCTTTCAATTTTTGTGGTCATTTTTGCCATAACCTGAAAACTACTGAAGAATAGTGAACACTAACTATTACATCAGTTAACAATAGGTATTAAAATACACATACCCTGCTGTTTTGGTATTTGCTATGTGGGTTCCACCTTTGATCTTCCCAGGAGTGAAGGTTATTTCTGTTGAACCAATTTCTCCACCCTCCAGCTGCCCATCACATAAATCTCGAATCATCTCTAGTCCAGACAGATGTTGAGGTCTTCAAGTCAAGACATACATTAAGACATACATCAGATTGCCTACTCACGCACTTTACATTACAATTACGAACTGAACAATAGTACAATTTGAAAAACAACGAATAGTCTAGTAGCCCCTTAAAGACTAACAAAACATGTAGATGGTATCATGAGCTTTTGTGGGCACAACCCACTTCTTCAGATGACGGATGACCCACAACTACTTCGGAGACAATTTGTATCTTCAAGTCAGTGGCACAGCCATGGGCACCCGCATGGCACCACAATATGCCTACGTCTTTATGGCTAACCTTGAACGTTTCCTCAGCTCTAGCCTTCTAACATCCTTACTCTACTTACGCTACGTTGATGACATCATCATATGGACCCACAGGAAAGAAACCTTGAAGAATTTCACCGGGATTTCAACAACTTCCACCCCACCATCAACCTCAGCCTGGATCAGTCCACACAAGAAATCCACTTCCTTGACACTACAGTATAATTAAATAATGGACAAATTTCCACCACCCTATACTAGAAACCTACCGACCCTACACTCACTTTCATGCCTCTAGCTTCCATCCCAGACACATTTCTCGATCTATTGTATACAGCTGTCATCTGAACAAGTGGATTGTGCCCACGAAAGCTCATGGTACCAGCTACATGTTTTGTTAATCTTTAAGCTGCTACTAGACTATTTGTTGTTTTTCCTGTTACAGACTAACCCGGCTACCCCTCTGAAGCTTTTGAATAGTACAATTACAAGCTTCACCCCTAATCAATGCAGAAGAAATTCAAACTCATTCCCACAGAATTTCTTGGCTGTCTGTAATCAAATAGGAACAAGACAAGAAGCAGAGTAGGATTTTAAATTAGTGGATATCCTGTTTCTCCTCCACAGAAGCAAAACAGAGAAGAAAGGTGGGTGCAGGCCCTCCCTGCAAGAACATGTTCAAACTTGAGCCAAGATGCAGTCAGAAATGTGATGAACTTCATTCTAGTTCCTTAATACATAGAGCCAGAGAGAAGGATTGGCATAGAATCAGAGGCGGTCACTTGACGCAAGAAGAATCTCAGAGTTACATACCCAACAGGGTGATCGGAGTAGGGATATAAAGTGTTCACCAGTTACCTAGTAAGAATCACCCTTACCGGGTGATGCTTACCAAGTAATGGTTAACCAGTGGCCGGGCAGGACTAGAGCATCCTCTGCTGCACATTGGGACAGGCTGGAGGCTCTCCTGCCCACCTGAGGCTATCTAGACCCTAGTTAATCAATTAAAATGATATCATTTAACTGGTTAACATTTTTAAGGGATATTTACATCCTTAGATCAGAGGTCACCTGCAATACCAGCCCACAAAGCAAGAGTTGAAAAAAAATGTCAAGGAAATAAAATAGGAAAACAAGGTCAAAACTTTTTTAGAAGTGTGCAAATATACTCAAAGACAAGGCAGGTGAACTTCATCAAAATGATTTTAATTTAATATGACTAGTTTCAAACTGACACTGTCAATTAAATACAAAAACAATTGGAGGTGTATACAACTGCTAGATGGCAATTTAAAAAAAAAACAAATATGACCACTTTTTGTTGTTTCAGGTTTTGTTTCTCAAATTATTGCCAAGTGTCCTACACAAACCTACATGGTTTCGGCACCAGCCAAATAAAAAGTCATTCACCATCAGCTCCTTAAACAGTAGGTAAAAGCATTCACACCTTCATGCCTTGGGATAGAGATACTCACTATTTGGAGGGCATTTTTATAGACAGGTTTTTAGTCTCTCTTGGTAGGGATGGAATTTTTTACTGTACATTGACCAAACATTTTACAGTTTTGATCATTACAGATTGCAAATCATCATATTATGTTCTTCTAATATAGTGTTACTGTCAGGGTACCTGACAGGAAAGGGAATCAAGCAGCTAGACCCAAGTGGAGGGTCATGGGGACAGATGCTCTCCTCGGTGATGCAAATTCAAATACTCTTTCCATGACAAAATACTGGTGATGTAAAGTATATATTTGAGGCTAATACATTTACATGAAGTACAACAGTAAGCAGGTTAGGTCTTTACAGAGTTTCAGGAGTTCAGTCCAGTATCCTTTCCTGACACAAAGCCCTTATCTGCTTCGATCTTTTGCTAAAAATCTCTTAATATTGCAGGAGCAATCGTGTAGTTCTAGTGAAAAGGAAGGAATACGAGTATAATCTGGCTAGAGCCTGATGGTGTTTTCAGTATTGGGCCCTGGAAACCTCAATATAGGTAGTGTTAGGCAATGTGGTACAGGTTGGACCTCCCTGGTCTCACACCCCTGGGACATGAGCTGTCCCAGATGAAGGAGTTTGCTGGACCAGGAGATGTCAGTGCTCCCTTGCTGGCTGCCCCACTCCTGAGCTCTTCTCCTGGGGGCTCCCTGCCCTGCCACTGGCCCCCCTAACACTAGCCCGGCACGGCTCCCCACTCAGCTGCCCACCTGCTGCTCCAGGGTCTCCCGTGGTTCCTGGTGGAGACCACTTGGATGTTGCTGGCCCTGCTGCCGCAGGGTGTTCCCTGGAGGTTCCCTAGCCAGGGCGCCTGGCTGCCCGACCCAGCTGCTAGGGTTAGCCCCATTGCCGCTGGGGATTCCAGCCACCTGCCTCCACCAGGCCCACTTTAGGCCCAGGCACCCTAGCCCCACTGCCACCAGGGATTTGCCAGAACTCCTGGCCAGCGCTGAATGACCACAGGCAGCTCTGCTGCAGACACAGGTTTCCCAGCTGGGGCTGGGAATCCCTGTTCACCTGGGCCTGCTAATGTCGGGGATTCCCCGGCTGGGCCAGGAGTTCCCTGGCTGCTGTCTGGCCTGGCTAACACCAGGATCCCAGCCAGGGCAAGGGCTCCCCAAATACTGCTTGTCCCCCCCCACCTCCATGCTGCTTGGC